AGTTTGAATGAGAATAAAGTGAAAGTCAGTCTCAAGTGATGCTTAAAACTTTATTGCAACAGAGTTTAAGTTACAAACTTGAGATACAAATAACAATAGTAAAATGTGTTTCTGACTTGACAAGATGAAACTATAGTCACATTTACTTCGCAATGAGAGGAAGGTCTAATGTTAATACAATACTGTACTACAGCTATTACAACAAATGTGAACAAAAAAGTGTTAACTTATAACTGGTCGCTCCAAAATTCCCATGTAGTTTCTAGAAATTGGGGGCCAAACTATCATAAACAGGTGTAATGTTTAGTTCAGTAAGACAATATATGTATAAGAACATTTAGGTTATCAGAGAATTAAGAATAAATCTATAATAGTATCAATGAGTTGAGTCACCACTTTGTTGCAAGTAGTGGAGCCTTATATTTTCAAGTTTTTCCAACACAAATATGTTTTCCTGAACCATATTTTCATGTGGCTATAGATCTAAAAAGAGTAGGAGCAAACTAATGTGAACCATGTGATTTTAACTTGTGCAAAATAACACTTGACTATCTTTGGTCCTATGGCTGTTGCCACTACTCAAATGACAGTGAATGTAGAAAGGTCTAAAACATGTATCTGCTGAAGTGATAGTTCTGTACAAACCCATCCTTGTCCCATATTGCACTTTTCTGCATGTGCACAGCATGTACATGTACATACATGTACTTTTACTTCTCTCTGCACCTTACAATAGACTTTTGCTGTCATAATTTATCAAGATACTTTGCTGTTAAGTGAGAAGTATGCTCAACAGTAAACTTGCCACTGACAGGTGAAAAGGGAACAGCTAGCTGACGACACTGACAAGATAATCTGAACACAGTGTCACTATCTCTTATAGACTGGAATGACAATTATTGACTTGCTTACTGGCAAATGCATGGTTTGTGATACCTTTTCTTTTAGAGTTCACAAAGTCTCTGCAAAAAGACTTTTACACTTCCCAATATCCATCACAAATCTGTCACATGCAGTAACCCTATCTTTAGAGCTTCCCATTGTAAAATACCGTATATCAAAAAAATGTCCCTCTGGGATACAAATATATGCAGTTTAAGTGACATCTTACAAATTATGACCATTTTCAGAGTTTATACACAGCAGTTTTCATCTACCCTGCCCAACACATACAGCACATTGTTAACACTTCCCACAAGTCTGTGTGACACTTGCATACTGTGCAAGTCTATGTGTACTACAAAATGAGCCTTTGGTTTACATTTAAAAATGACAACCTACTCTCTCTGTGGTTATCTAGAATGTAATAAAGTAAAGAAGGTCCTTTAGTCATAAGCCAAATAGATAAATCTTTCTTACATACATCTTTAAAAGGCCAATCCATTAAAAAAATAACTTTGGTAATCTTGCAATGCTACTTAATCAAGGCATAGAGATCCTTGTGTACCACTGAACATCATTTTCCTCTCTTGGGTGGCTGCAAAGGAGAACAAAAAAAAAGACATCAGGACACATTTACCCCCACATATTCTGATGCCAACATGGCACTTTCTTTTTAGTGTTTCTATTACAAAACACACACCTCCATTGGCCCTAATACTTGGCTCGCTTGACTGGTCTGTCCAATCCTGTTTAAGTGTAAAAATTCAATGGGGATGTCCTCAGGTCAAATTACCTGATGAGTGAGGAGAAAAGTATATGGTGCTTTGTTCAACATTGCAGACTTGGGAAAATGTTCTTTTGCCACCAGCAACCGATCAGCCTCCTACCATTTTCTCTTGAGAGTAACATTCACATGCAATGGCTCTTCTCTACTGCAGTGAAAGCAGGGGTACATGTAGTTGTAATGCTACCTACAAAGATGGCACTCTCCTTACACAGTGCACGAGTGCGTGCCACCAAGTAATTATGGTTATTAAATATGGTTTAGATTCATCAGGTCCTGTCAGTCAGACCACACTATTATTATCACACTGAGTTGTCTGCCCTTCTAAGCCCAGCTATCAACATTTTCTCAGAGCTCTGAAGCATAGAAAATATAAAAGGGACTTGTGCCAGAGGCCAACAGGTGTATCAGGGACAACAATAGACGTTTTGGCAAATGTGATCTGCCTTTGTGAGATACGACGCCTTGTCATAATGTATCTGTACTCAAACTATTCATCAAAATTCCATCTGATACCAGTAGAGAACTTAAAGGACAAATCCAATACTTTCAGTTTTGGGGCCTTTCCACCCAAAATCCTATTTGTAAATAGTGATTTATTGGTTTCTGCCAACCCCGCACATATTTGCGGTTATATCTGACCCGCTCGATGTTCCCCGGCTAGAGCCCGATTGTCCGCTAGGCGGCGCAGCAACTGTAGATTTGACGTCACCGTTTCCATTCTGCTACTAGCGAAAACAATCATGGCGGGCGCATCTAGACTGCATCGGCTGTGAAACCCTTCCGTTTTGAGCCACAGACAGACAGTAGTGGTGACTCTGACCCCGATCCAGGCGATGAGAACGTTTGGGAAGGAGGTGACGTGGAGACAGAGCGTTGGAGGTTGGGCGATCGATGTAAATAAATTTGTCAAAGGGTTGAGTGAATTGCAACGTAAACAAACCGCGGTACCGACCTGTTAGAGACCGGCTCCTGCACGCCCTGCTGGATCAGATCCCAACGAAAAATCAGCAAAGTTCGGAGGTTTGCCGGGTGGAGAATCACATCGAAGTCAGGGTGGTTTCTAATGCATGGGTGGTCTGGACCGACGTTCTTTTTGAACAGTGTCTGGCAGGTCGTGGCAACAAACACTCCCGTACAGAGGGCAATTCCAGGCAGTTTCCACAGCGGCACCAGTCCCGGTTCCCCAACCTCCAACGCTCTGTCTCCACGTCACCTCCATCCCAAACGTTCTCATCGCCTGGATCGGGGTCAGAGTCACCACTACTGTCTGTATGTGGCTCAAAACGGAAGGGTTTCACAGCCGATGCAGTCTAGATGCGCCCGCCATGATTGTTTTCGCTAGTAGCAGAATGGAAACGGTGACGTCAAATCTACAGTCGCTGCGCCGCCTAGCGGACAATCGGGCTCTAGCTGGGGAACATCGAGCGGGTCAGTTATAACCGCAAATATGTGCGGGGTTGGCAAAAACCAATAAATCACCATTTACAAATAGGATTTTGGGTGGAAAGGCCCCAAAACTGAAAGTATTGGATTTGTCCTTTAATGACAGGATAGATTCTGAGAAACTGTTCCAATAAAGTCATTGCAATTCATATTCAGATTTGCTTTACAATACACCTGTTCAATTTACAGGCCCACTGCAATTTAAATTATAAAAAGAAGACTTACCGGGATATCTTCTTCATCAGAGCTGGTGTGGCCGCTCTGTCCACCACTGGGTCCATCCAGACCCTCCACATCCACTCTCCTCGGGAAGGCTCGGGAACTGATCTGGAACTCCTTTTTGATCCGCTGCAACATTACCATACCATGTGAAGTTAATCCCTGGCAAAAGTAGCAGTGTTTATCATCAACTTTATGTGGTGTATATCACTACATCCCTTCCTGCCTTCAACCATATATATGTATATAGACTTTGCATGACTTTATGTTTATGGTTAACCTGTTTATGGTTATGTTTATGGTTAACCTGTATCTTGTTGCTTTTTGTCTGATCCTGACCACTTCCCTCATGTCCTCAATGAAAAGTAACCAGTAGGCCAATTTGAGTATTTTGTGAATAAAGAAAGACTTAAACAGCCCGAGTAGTCCAATGTTTTGAAAAATCTTGAGCATCTTCTCTTTAAGCCTTTAGCATAGTAGTAGGACCTCCAGAGTGACGTACCTTCCAGTCATTTATGGTAAGTGATATGAACACCTGCTGTTTATCCACCCTCTCGTGTGCCTCTGCTTCTGTGTATGGCTCGGCAGGTTCTGCACAATGTACAACATAGTTCAAACTTAACACAGAAATGATGAAACTACATGTATTCACATAGGTAAACCTCCTTGAAGAATGTCTCAATCGTGATATTTTATGACCTTAAAATGAATTTTGGGGATAGAAAATTGAGAAGTTAACATGTCGTATCTATACAATATTACAAGGTTGGTTACTAAGGAGCTATTGAAGTTGGATAATCGCGTGGCTGCATTTCCCCCACAAACTGATATAGGAGGCTGCAGCACTAAGTTACTAGTAGCTTCCAGTGCAGTTCAAAAAGAAAATGGCAATATGCTTTGCTCATGAAAATGTGCAAAGTCTTTAGGTCAAATCCAACGCGGATTTTCTTACCTATCACTGGCAGCTGATCATCATTGAGATATATTCGGGCATTACCATCCTGTAAAAAAGGAGAATTTGGGGGTAACAACAAACACTTCAAATGTTTATATCTCATTATCTATGTGCAGGTGCGAGTATTGCACTACCGGTACATGTATTTGAAGGGGGTCTGGAAACTAAACAGTGCAGCTGAAGGATGTACATTTGTATATGGGGAGTATTGGGGACACACAGTAAAAAAATCAGTTGGCTTGCTTACCCTGATAAGGTAGGACAGGTGGAAAATGTTCTCCACAGTTCGGGCAAACGAATCTGGATCCATCACAAACTCAAAGTAGTCTATGGGATCCACATCATCACCTGAAAGGAAGGAGAATTTCTTTCTTACTACATGTACTTACAAGTATCCAACATTGCTATAAGGCTTCTCTATACTAAATTAGGCATGAAAGGGACCAAATAAAAACAAAGAATGTACAGTACTGAAAGCTAGTTGTTTGTGGCGAGTCTGAATTGTAAGATGCTAGTAGATTCTAAACAGCATTCAAGTATTGAGAACCATTGTTCTACATGTCCAACAAGTGCTTGAAAAATGAATGAGTGAACTTAATTGCTCATCAAGTGCACATGGTACAATCATTACAAGTTATGGCAGTTATCAATTTTTTAAACTCACTCTCATCTATGGTTAGAATCCTCAGTGCCTTGTACATAAAGTCCCTGTCTGCCAAAGTGTCACTCTCACTCTTTGCGTCCTCATCAGAACTCGTCACCTGTGCAAATACATTTAAGCTAGACATAGCTCTTTGTTGGATGGGCAAAAACACCTCTAGATGATACATGTGTGGTACAGAAATGAATGATATCAGTGTATCAATGATTTTACACAAGAAGAAATGTCAATGGTGATTGAGTTGCTTCAAAACCATCCATGCTATAATTAATGGTACATCACCTTACAGTAAGAGCTCACCAGTTTGGGAACAATTTTGGGTCCAATGGATTCATTTGCATCCTTTCTATTCAGCTTCCTGGATTCACGGGCCTTGGCCTCACGGTTAAAGGATCCATACCTGTGGGCAACAAGTACAGTTCAAAATCATTTATGAGTCTAATACATGTACTAAAATATAATAGTATTTAACACTATTCCACCCCACTCAGCTTCACAAGAATACTGTAGTGTTCCAATATTCTGGAAGACGTTTTCCTCAAATTTGGCATGAAAATGTCCTGGGAATCCAAGGAATTGCTTGGAATCCATATCGAATATTGAAACATAATCCAAGGAAGAAGATTTGAAGAAGATTTGAATAGAAACGTACAGAAAGTGGAATGCCGGTGCTCTGTTGAAGTGTCTCCTGGCTTCCTCTCCCAGTTTCTCCCAGCCCGCAGCCGGTACCCTGACCACACTCCTCCTCTCCTCTTCATCTGGGTCCTCTGGGTTCGCTTGTCTGTCCGTCATGAATTCCACCTGAAAAATTGAACAGTAGGACCAGAAAAAGACAAGAGTTCCACGATCTCATACCTTCGCCAAATTTCCTCATTAATTATGCAAATTAGCTCCTGATTTGCATAATTATCATTTGATTGTGTCAAGCCTCACTTCAGCTACCTACATACCAAAAATCATGACAATCCGTCCACCGGTTCTTGAGTTATCATCCTTCGAAAATTTTTCAACAAATGCTCCTGCAGTTCCAGAACAAGGCACAAGGGGAGCCAAACTTATGTCACTTCTTCCCTACCCCAAGAGCTATCTACCAACCAAAATTCGTGACCCTGACATGTCCAGATTGCGAGATATCAAAACCGGAAGTTCTGCTGCAGTACCAACAAAAGCCGCCAGGGGGCCCAAAATCTAATCATTTCTAGGTCTTATCAAGACATACCCACCTACCAAGTTTCATGACAATGCATACTAAGCTTCTTGAGTTATGCTGTTCACAGACAGACAAACAGACAGACAGACGGACAAACGCTACTGAAAACATAACCTTCTTGGCGAAGGTAATAAGGCATCATTACCTTCCAGGTTACAGTTGAGTAAATCAGTGCAACAAACTGAAATTATAGAAATACATGTTCTCTTTACACATAAAATAACATGTAGATTGCAGAGGCAACAGGATACAAACCAGTTTATCTGCAAACACATGTAGCTCGAATGTTACGAGGTCTGTGTGGAGTTGGTGTGCCTTCTGACTGCCCAAGGTTGATGCCAGCACCAGGAACTGGTAGTCCAAGACTGCCTCCCTGGTCCCGGGCTTAACTGATGAGGATATAGAGTCACAATGACTCACATAGTAAATATGACATGATTTGCTACGTAGATTGAATTAAGTTTCAAAACTATACATGATCATTTGATAGCAATTTTTTCAAATTTTGCACTTTGAGTTTTGACCATATGTATTTGAATACAAATAGACTCTATTGTTACATAATATCCAATGTCCTTTAAATAGTCAAATACTAGTGCGCTACTACTAGTGCGCTGATGGTGAAAACTTAAATCTTTTACTAGTCTTAGTGTGGTAAAGGTAAATGTATTTCAGCTCTCTCACCATCACCATTCTGGAAGAGTTCATTGCCCTTGATTAGCCTGTCATTCAGACCCTTGGATCCAGGTTTAATCAGGTCCAGTCTGTTCTCTGTGGAGGGAAAGGAAAAAAAAAACACTTGGCTATATAAAGGAGGTTTAAAATCAAACCTCCTTGGCTATATTATAACATGGTTAGTATTTGTTGGCTCTGCTAAGCTGAGCAGCTTAGTCTGGTTACCAAACCTATTATAGCTGCAGAATCCTTCATCCTATTTGCAGAGAGGATGACATTTCTATCATCAATGAGACAAAAAAAAAAGAAGTCACAGAATTTTCACATTGATTATGCAAATTAGGCCATCATTCGCATAATTGGTATCTGTTGATGTTCCACCTGCCACAGATTAAATAGATTACATGTATAAAAATACTATTATATAAAACACTGTAATTATAGAATTTCCTCCTTATTTATGCAAATTAAGTCCTAATTTGCATAATTTGCATTTAATTAAGTACAACTCTCTCTGAGCTACCTACACATCAAAAATGATGAAAATACGTTGTTCCCATCTGGACTTATTGGCTTTTAAAGATTTTGCCAGAAAGTCCTCCTCCTGTTTCTTACACCAGAACAAGCTGCTAGGGGGACCAAACCCACGCCACTTATTCCTGACAGGAAAAGCTATCTGTCACCAAAAAGTCAAGACCATAGCATGTTCAGGACAAAAGAGGTTCTGCTGAAGTACCAAGGTCATCCACCAGGAGGCCCATATTTGACTTTGACCTTGGTCTTTCTAAAGACTTACCAGCATACCAAATATCATCACAATCCATAAAGGCGTTATGAAGTTATGCTGACGACAAATGTGCGGAAACACACACACACACAGACACACCTAAAACATAATTTTTTAGAAAGGCTGTGCCGCCGCTCTAAATATATTTTCTTGTATCTGCTATTCATTATCTTGCTAATCAATCACTGTCAAGATGAAAGACATGCCCGAACAACACCTCAGTGTTCAAAGGCACAATAATTTGTCACTTCACCTTCTTATCATAACAAATTATACAAACTGGGTTTTCATCTTTTGTGTTTTAAACTACTAGTATTGAACAAAAATTGCCTCCTTCGCAGACTTGTGGGAATTCGAAGGCAGCGTTTATGCAGGAGGTACGGGGAGGGAGTTTGCCGGGGAGAGGCAAACCGTCCCTCCGTGGCGTAACTCGCGTCGCTCCCCGAAAAAATTAACGTCGCCGACCCACAAGTCTGCGACAGCGATGGAGGCTAGAACAAAAATACCAGTACCCTGCATTTCGTTGATGAGGGTCCTATATTTGTGCCTGAGCTGCCGCCTCCTTTCCTCAAGGTCCGCCCAGTCCGCCCCACTGGCGGGAGGGGACGCCAGGCCCTCCTGGTCCTCCTCGGAATCCCCCGCTCCCTCACTAGCCGCAGGATCGCCGTTCTCCGCCCCGTTATCTGTGTCTGCCCGCTCACCTGACCGTGACCATCCAGTTCCCAGCATTGTTTTGATGGCAGACGCGCGGATCGGCAACAACAACAGCACAAACGCGTGCAGACGAGAACGCGGAAGCAAAAGAACAAACTTCGAAATTTTCGTTTGTCTGGCTTTCGGGTCCTTCGACTGTTGACGTCCAAGTGCACGTCCTGATGATCGACCCTAGTTTGAAGGGAATCTACGACTGGATTCCTTCTAAAGTTAATTAACGAAAAGACACATGTACGATTATTTGTAAACAGAGCAGACTGCTGGATAGCTGGACCACCCACGGAAGTTTTCGCGCTGGAACTCAAAATGAAGTGCGCATGCCCGGTACTATATAACTTTACCACTACCACAGTGTCGTCTGCAAGCGGCGTAAGCGGTCGTCGCCTTTCGATGCTGCTGTAAAAAGGCCGCAGCAAGTAATTTTTTTATGGATGACATCAACGCGCGCATTAATTTTATCCTGATTTTGGAAAAAAAACAAGAAATTTTGTTCCCTTCCGACAGTACATCCGACGTATACCCTCTTTTGAATATCATTAAACAAACGCCTCTGCAGTTCTAGAGCAAACCGCTAGGGGGCCCAAACTTACATCACTTCTTTCTCAGCTTAAGAGCTACCTATGAACCAAACCTCGTGACCCTAGCATGTCTATGTCATGAGACATCAGAAATATCAGCTGCAGTACCATAAGAAGCCGCTAGGGGCCCAAAATCTAACAATTTCCAGGTCTCATCAAGACCTACCCACCTACTAAAGCCTTCTCAGATTATTGTGTTTAGTCACACACACACGCGCGCGCGCGAACGCCTCTGAAAACATAACCTTAGGTAACCTTAGGTGAAGGTAATGAGAATAAAGTGAAAGTCTCAACTGATGCTTAATTAAAACTTTATTGCAACAGAGTTTTAGTTACAAACTTGAGATACAAATAACAATAGTAAAATGTGTTTCTGACTTGACAAGATGAAACTACAGTCACATTTACTCTTCGCCATAAGAGGAAGGTACTACTCATAGTACAATACAATACTACAGCTATTACAACAAATCTGAACAAAAAAGTGTTAACTTATAACTGGTCGATCCAAAATTTCCATATGGTCTCTAGAATTTGGGGGCCAAACTATCATAAACAGATGTACATGTTTAGTTCAACAAGAACAGATATAATAACATTTAGGTTATGAGAGAAATAAGACTAAATCTATCAATGAGTTATGTCACCACTTTGATGCATGTAGTGGAGCCTTGGAATGTTTCTTCAAGTTTTTCCAAAACAACTGTTTTCCTGAACCTTTTCTTATACTAGTATGTAGATATTGATCTAGAAAAAGTAGGAGCAAACTAATGTCAACCATGTGATTTTAACTTGTCCAAAAAAACATCTTTGGCCCTCTGGTTGTTGCCACCACTCAAATCACAGTGAATGTAGAAAGGTCTACAACATGTATCTGCTGAAGTGATAGATTTCTACCATCCTTGTCCCATATTGCACTTTTCTGCATGTGCACAGCATGTACATACATGTACTTTTCTTACTTCTCTCCACACATTACAATAGACTTTTGCTGTCATAATTTATCAAGATACATTGTACTTTGCTGTTAAGTGAAAAGTATGCTCAACAGTAAACTTGCCACTGACAGGTGAAAAGGGAACAGCTAGCTGACGACACTGACAAGATAATCTTCACACAGTGTCACTAACTCTTATAGACAGGAATGACAATTATTGACTTGCTTACTGGCAAATGCATGGTTTGTGATACCTTTTCTTTTAGTCCACAAAGTCTCTGCAAAAAGACTTTTACACTTTCCAATACAAATTTCTGTCACACACAGTAATCCTATCTTTAGAGCTTCCCATTGTAAAATACTGTATATCAAAAATATGTCCCTCTGGGATACAAATATATGCAGTTTAAGTGACATTTTACAAATTATGACCATTTTCAGAGTTTAAACACAGAAGTTTTCATCTACCCTGCCCAACACATGCAGCGCATTGTTACTTTACACTCTTCTCACAAGTCTGTGTGACACGTGTATATACTGTACAAATGTATGTGTACTACAAAAAGTGGCTTTGGTTTACACTTAAAAAATGGCAACCTACTTTCTCCGTGTTTATCTAGAATGTAATGAAGTACTAGTAAAGAAGATCCTTTAGTCATAAGCCAAATAGATATATCTTTTGTACATACAGTTTTAAAAGGCTAATCCATCGAAGAAAATAAGTTATCTCAGTCGTAAATGCTGCTTCATCAAGGCACAGAGATCCTTGTGTTTTTTTATATGATTGAACATCATTTTCCTCTCTTGGGTGGCTGCAAAGAACAAAAAAAAGGGACGTCAGCAAAAGGACACAATTTCTTGGTAAAGAGGTAAGGATAGGCTTTCCCAAATTTACCCCACCTAATTATATTGCCAACATGGCTAGAACCTTTCACAGTGTTTCTATTACAAAACACACGCCTTCATTTTTCAGGAGTCTTGGACTGTAAAACATCAGATTTTACAGTGGATTCAGGTACATGTATTACCTAGACAAATGTAGCCGCCCCATAACAATTTTCAAGTTGTAAAAAGAAGACTTACCGGGCTATCTTCTTCATCAGAGCTGGTGTGGCCGTTCTGCCCACCACTGGGTCCATCCAGACCCTCCACATCCACTCTCCTCGGGAAGGCTCGGGAACTGATCTGGAACTCCTTTTTGATCCGCTGCAACATTACGATATTGTGCTTATTTTATGGACATGGTAGGACTTCAATCACGTAACCTGTATCTTGCTGTATTTTGTCTGATCCTATAACCTCTTCCCTCACCTCATCACCTCAATGAAAAGCAACCAGCAGGACAATTTGAGTCTTTCATGAATAAACAAAGGCTCGAACAAACAAAACCAAGTAGTCCAGAGCAATTTCTCTTAAGCCTTTAACATAGTGACATACCTTCCAGTCATTTATGGTGAGTGACACAACCACCTGCTGTTTATCCACCCTCTCATCTGCCTCTGCTTCTGCGTATGGCTCGGCAGGTTCTGCACAATGTACAACATAGTTCAAACTTAACAAAGAAATGATGAAACTACATGTATTCACATAGGTAAACCTCATTGAAGAATGTCTAAATCATGTGATATTTTATGACCTTAAAAGAAATTTTGGGGATAGGACATTAAGAAGGTAACAAGTCAGATCCATACAACATTACATGGTTATAATTTACAAATGAGCTATTGAAATTGGATTATCAGTGACTGCATTTCCCCCACAAACTGATAGAGGAGGCTGCAGCACAAAGTTAGCTTCCAGTGTAGTTCAAAGAAAATGGCAACATGCTTTGGTCATGAAATGTCCAAAGTATTAAATAAAATCCTACATGGATTTTCTTACCTATCATTGGCAGCTGATCATCATTGAGATATATTCGGACATGACCATCCTGTAAAAAAAGGAGAATTTTGGGGTGACAACAAACACTTCAATGTACTTACATTGTGTATCTCTTATTATCTATGTGCAGATGCGAGTATTGTAGGGGGTCCGGAAACTAAATGTATGACTGAAGGGGGTATATGGGGACACACAGTAAAATGAACAGTTGGCTTGCTCACGCACCCTGACAAGGAAGGACAGGTGGAAAATGTTCTCCACAGTTCGGCCAAATGAATCTGGATCCATCACAAACTCGAAGTAGTCCATAGGATCCACATTACCACCTGAAAGGAAAGAAAATTTCCTTCTTACTTCTTACAAGTATCAAACATTGCTTCCCATTACTAAACAGGCATAAAAAGGACCAAATAAATGAAAACAAAGAATGTACTGATAACTAGTTTTTCATGGCTGGTCTGAATAGTAAGATAAATTCTAAACAGCATACAAGTATTGAGAACTATTGTTCTATGTGTCCAACAAGATAAAGTGCTTGAAAAATGAATGAGTGAACTTAATTACTCAACATGTGATGGTACAACCATTATAATGTATGGCAGTTAATTAATTTCTTTGTTTTTGAACAGTCTTTGGAAAAAAAAGTTCCATGACAACTCACTCTCATCTATGGTTAGAGTCCTCAGTGCCTTGTGAATAAACTCCACCTCTGCTGTAGTCTGCTCCTTTGTGTTCTCATCAGAACTTGTCACCTGTGCAAATACATAAAAGGCAAGAACACTTCTAGATGATACATGTGTGGTACAGTATGATATCAGTGTATCAAGGATTTTACACACCATTAAATGTCCATGTAGCTAATGGTGATATCAGTTGTTTCAAAGCCATCCATGCTGTAATGGTACATCACCTTAGTGAAATTTGATACACAGCAAAGATAGCTTACCTGTTTGGGAACAATTTTGGGACCAACGGATTTATTTGCATCCTTTCTATTCAGCTTCCTGGATTCACGGGCCTTGGCCTCACGGTTAAAGGATCCATACCTGTGGACAACAAGTACAGTTCGAGCACTTAAACACCATTTCACCACTCTCAGCTACTGTAGTGTTTCAATATTCTGGAAGACATTTTCGCCAAATTTGGTTTGAAAATATCTTTGGAACCCACGGACTTCAAAGGAAGAAGATTTGAAGGGCAGACGTACAGAAAGTGGAATGCCGGTGCTCTGTTGAAGTGTCTCCTGGCTTCCTCTCCCAGTTTCTCCCAGCCCGCAGTTGGTACCCTGACCACACTCCTCCTCTCCTCCTCTTCATCCTCATCTTCTTCTGGGTCCTCTGGGATTGCTCGTCTGCCCGTCATGAAGCTTAACTGAAACATTGACCACAAAAAGGTCAGGCACCACTACCTTGCTGGTTGAAATTGAGTACAACACTGCAGTTTTAGAAATATACCGGTATGTTCTCTCTTGACATAAACTGAAATGGAGATTGCAGAGACGACAGGATACAAACCAGTTTATCTGCAAACACGTGTGGCTCGAATGTTACAAAGTCTGTGTGGAGTTGGTTGGCCTTCTGACTGCCCAAGGTTGATGCCAGCACCAGGAACTGGGAGTCCAAGGCTGCCTCTCTGGTCATCTTAACTGATGAGGATACAAAGAGTTACATGGTAAATTGAATTAGGTTTGAAAACAATGCCTGATTATTTGATAGCAAATGTTAAACCTAAGTCAATCAGAAAATAGTTACAAATTCTGTATCCATGGAATTAACATTAGATCTAAGTTTGACTGCATGTACTCAAAAGCAAATAGACAATCATGACTCTATTGTTACATATTATTCAATGCGACAATTTCCCTTAGTAACTTAGGCCCGATTCACACGTGCGTCGTTTTTATGTGTCGGGCGTCGTTCGACGCGCGCGCGCGCAAGCTGTATGACACATTTTTCAATCGTATAAACAGGCCCGCCACCGCCGCGCGGCGCCTTGTGTCGTTTTTTCTGTGGCACCTTCAGGAGGTGCCACAAGTGCGTCGCGGCACACAGCGGGATGTCTGCGGCGAGGAAAAACATCATGTAAACAGACCTGCGTCGCGCGCAGCTCGCGCAGCCCATTTCCGCATCACAGAAGGTCAGGTACGGCTCAAGGTCGTTACAGATTTGTAGGAACGTCGCCTTCGTCATGCGGAACCGTGTGTAAAAGTCCCGGTCATTAAATCCACCAAACACACAGTTGTCGGTCCAGTGTGAGCTCCTTGTATCAACTCGTTCCCAAACTGATCGGTCGACATGGCCCTGAGCTTCGACGATTGCAATGGCTGCAAGGAAAGCTACCCGTCGGATATCCTGGTTACGATCCCTACGACGTCCAAGCCGTCTTCTGTGCCATGCACGGCGCTGCAAATACGCGCGAGTGAAGAAGAGAAGCATCATTTGTCGAATGAAAAACAAGAACAGCGCTTCAGTTCCCGCCATGTTGGAACCAGAGTTCACCACATGTGACACAGCGCGACGCAGACCGCCACAGCTGCGGCGCGAAGCGGGAGCTGCGGTCCCTGTGTGTAAACGGGAAAGTGTCGTAGGCGACTTGGCGCGCGCGGGCGTCGAACGACGCCCGACAGTTTTATTTTTCATCGTGTGAATCGGGCCTTAGTCATAAGTGCTCTGATGGTACAAACTTGTGCCCATTAGTGTGGTAAAGGTAAATGTCTTTCAGCTCTCACCATTCTTGAAGAGTCCATTAGCCTTGTTTAGCATGTCATTCAGACCCTTGGATTCAGGTTTAATCAGGTCCAGTCTGTTCTCTGTGGAGAAAAAGGACCAAACAATTACCATGTTTGTTCCTTCCATTCTTTATTTCATGTTATACTGTTGATGGCCTCAATTTTGGAAATAAATAATTATTGTATAAGCTATCTTGTTTTTTTCACACTCTCCAAATTTGGAGTCTGCCGTAGATCACATGACCCATGATGCCGAGTCCCTCCCTTGCTAGTGCTGTAGCCTGGATGCCAAACCCATAGCACACTGGACACAAAGTATCTCACTGAGATACTTTGTGTGAGGCAAGGAGATGTAGAAGAAGGAAGCAGGACATTTCGGCCCATGGACGCTTCGGCCATGGACATTTTAGGACACTTCGGCCACATGCGGTGGACGTTTCGGCCACATGCCGGGGACACTTCGGCCACATGCCGGGGACACTTCGGCCACGTTATTTATTGACAATACTAAGTTATCAAATAAATGTACGGTGTACTATATGATATGATGTATGAACACATACCGATTATTCGGAAAATCTGCAATAAAACCCACCGCAGTTAACTTATATTTGAAATACTAAGTTGCTATCTTGTACCAAGGAGGTTAAATACATATTTAACCTCGAGCTCTTTGCTTGTACGAAAATAAGTATGTCCGTATACTCATCGTCTCTCGGAGTACATTGACAATCAGATTTCAAGTCAAAAGGGACCGCGCCCTTTTGTCCGACGACGTCTCTGCGTACCTTACACGCTCATATTATTTCCAATAGAAATGTAAGAATCATTTGGAAAACTAATGACTAGAAACACGAACTTGTGTATGATGAAACGGATTTTATTCTATCGCCGATGGTACCGTAGCACCGTAGGAAACTGATTCTGAAAAAGAAAATAAGAATGAGATATGATTGCATTTGTCAAGAAAATACATTCGTTTTGCCACGTTTGCTTTCGCCTAGCCTGACTTATCGCGCTCCTGGCGGCCGGCCGCCCCGAAGTTGCCTCCGGCCAAGAGCTTGTGCAACACAGATTAGCTTTCGCCTTGCTTGCTTGAGGCCGAAGTGTCCAGTATTGGGACATTCGGCACGTGGCCGAAACGTCCAGCACATGTGGCCGAAACGTCCAGCACATGTGGCCGAAACGTCCAGCACATGTGGCCGAAACGTCCAGGCCGAAGTGTCCATGGGCCGAAACGTCCGACATATTCGTCTCCAGGTGCTGTTCTCTGTATGTACATAGACTCAGCTTTGATTGTTCATGGAGGTAGAATTGGAGAATCTCTACCAACCAATTCTATGGTACTAAACTCTGTGTTTGTTAACTCCTTGTTCCAGTTAAAGAGACAAGAGAAGGAAATGTAACAGTGGTAAGTAGCATTTCCTTTAATAGTGTCAGTATGTCTGTACATGTTTAAATATTACATGTAATCTTCATCATCATCATTGTCGCCATTCACATCTGGTATAGCTGATATAGAAGAGCAATAAAAGCTCAGGATAGATTTTGGTCACGTAAAACTTACATATTGATCCCCATTGTCATGTCATTCTTTTACCTGTGGTGAGCAAACCTACATGCAGTTCTTCTACTGTCAGGTAGAGGGAGTACTAACAGAGCCAGATGGGAAGATTGAAGAGGTAGACAACCCCCATGGGGCATGTCCAATCTGTTCTCATAACCTCACATTCACATGGAAGGTAAGTAGATTAATTTTATGAGATGCTAATTTTATACTACTACTTCTTCTGAAGACGTTGGTGAAGGTTAGACATCCAGATAAGATATGCCAAAAAGCAGTTACTCAAGCAACTGGATATGATTTTACTACTGAAGACATTTTAATATGTCATTATTCATGCGATGATGCCCCTACAAAGTTCCTCTATAATTGTATCATACATTGTTGCAGGATGTCCATGTCCTGTCCCAGTTCATGCGGCCTGATGGCCAGGTGATGCCCCAGCAGGTCACAGGTGTTTGTAACACACAACACAGGAAGCTGTTCTTGGCTATAGAGGAGGCCAAAGAGGCAGGTGGGATGGATGAGTTTTAACTTTTTACCTCCATGAAAAATGGAGGTATTGTTTTTGGCATGTCTGTGTGTGTGTCTGTCTGTGTGTGTGTGTGTGTGTTTGTGTTTCCGCACATTTGTAGTCAGCATAACTTCATAACGCCTTTATGGATTGTGATGATAGTTGGTATGCTGATTTGTCTTAGGAAGACCAAGGTCAAGTGTGGGCCTCCTGGTGGATGACCTTGGTACTGCAGCAGAACTTCCATTTTTTGTATCTTTTGTCCTGAACATGCTATGGTCTTGACTTTTTGGTGACAGATAGCTTTTCCTGTCAGGAATAAGTGGTGTGGGTTTGGTCCCCCTAGCAGCTTGTTCTAAAACTGCAGGTTAGTTTCTGGCAAAACCTTCTAAAGCCAATAATTCCAAATAGGAACAACATCTTTTCATCATTTTTGGTGTGTAGGTAGCTGAGAGAGAGTTGTACATAATTAAATGCAAATTTTGCAAATGAGGACTTAATTTGCATAATTAAGGAGGAAATTCTATAATTACAGTGTTTTATATAATAGTTCTGTTATACATGTAATCTATTTAATCTGTGGCAGGCGGAACATCAACAGATACCAATTATGCAAATGATGACCTAATTTGCATAATTAATGTGAAAATTCTGTGAATCCTTATTTGTGAATGTGTAAGTTACTTAAAGGTTTGCACCGCTATGCATATATTATGTTAATGTAGAAGTTATTTGCATAATTAATGAGGACAGAGCAAGCCCATATTTCATGGAGGTATGAGATCTCGGAACTCTTGTTAATACTGTACAGATTGTTTTCTAGTGTGCAAGTAGTCATGAATATCCCTTAATTTTGTGCCAACATAAAACATTGTCTTTTTTATAAATCAGTACATACATGGCACTAGGAAACTAAGTGCCATGTGTACATGCCATTGTGTTTTTACTATTGCATACTTCAAAGTCTTGAAATGTAACATTTAAGCCAAATAATAATGATTGAGTAGACTATATTAGGCATTAGCCAGACTTTCTTGATGTTTCGGCTTCTATTCCAGTTGATTTAATTTGCAGTTACACACATACGTCTTTTCTCTGTACAGGTCTGTTCCCAGACCACAAGCCTACATCAGATGACACTAAGGCTGTGAAAACCTCGGAGGTTCCACTGAACAGGTTCAATGACTACTGTCCACCAGACTGGGTTGTGATGAAAAGGATGACTAATGTCCCACATCCCCAGATCCCGTACCGGAAGCTGCGGAGATACACAAAGATTAACCCCAAAATTGTCAGGACTGCAGCAAGGAAGAGACCTTAGTCAGAAAATACTCCATAATGTTGAAGACCAAGGAGGCATAAGATACATGTAACAGTGTACAGTTGACAGTAGGAAGAGGAATGGTTAGGTCAGAGATACATGTATATCCTAACAGTAATTTGCTATACACATGAGGCCAAGTGTAAACTAGTTTCAGTATCATTTGGGCTGGAAACGTGAAAACTAATGTAACGGGATAAAGTATAAATGTAGGTACACACATCATAGAAGCAAGCAGAGTTTTGTTTGCATAATGGTGATATGAGTAGTACACATACTATACTGAGGTAAACTTCACTGATCTAAACCCAGCTGAAAATGTGCAAAGAAAATCTAAACATTGTACTACTAGTACTATGCACATGGTATCTTTACAATAATCACCATGAAAAAAAACAATGTTTCTCTGTCTTGTTTATTGCAATCTCTTGTAATCTCCAATACTTTCACATGAAATGATATTGCAATCCACTTTAATGAGGAGTCACTACTCAGTGTATATTTGCACGAAAATGCTGAAATTTGACATATAATGTTTTAGGACATTTTGTATAGCCAGATCAAAATACCACATGCAGTTTAAAAAGTTGTGACTGCATTAATATCTGTCTTTGTGCCAATTTGTTACCAAATACATATCATATTTGCAAAGTTAAATCTGGATAGATACATTCTGTATATCAATGGCACATACCGGGATACTAATCATTCAATATTGATACAAAGAAAATCTTAAGTACATAATCTATAGCATATCTACAAAATACTTCCACATTTTAGAAGCAGTACATATATCTTGATTAATGTCCTAGAGCACAATGATCTATAAGATACTAACACATGTCTATTACAAAATGATGATAAACAATTACTTCAAAGCATAGACTGTTGATTGGTATATCAACAAAATACCCTAAAAATATAGATCAAGAATCTCCAAAATTAATGCACCACATTATGCATTCTCTACTCTGTAGAGCTTCGATTTCATGATGACAGTTTATGATACATTGACTTTGTATGAACATTTATCCAGCAAGCAATGAACATTACAGATGCTTCCATTATATTGATAGGCAAGTCATGAGTTTTACAGTCATCAGTTGTACACAAGATTTCTTTTGTAAGACAAGCAAATGTGGAAACAGGGCAGTTTGACCAGTATTATACTTTAATCCATAAAAGAATGTCAGAATAACATAGAAATATCCTCCCCAGGAAGTAATTTCCATCTTATATTTGTATCTTTAGTATGTCTATATTTGATGACACCAACTAGTCCATAATTATGTACCAATTGTGTAACATATGCAACATTATATATTTATGTTGACAGCTGAATTTGATTACTCAAACAGCTTAACCTACCCATATAAAGGCACTTTGGATGTTGAGCTAAACAAACTTGAAACTACTATAATTGTCAATATACTGTACGTACTAGCTCTTTCTGAACAGCCAAGATACTGATGATATTGAGAACATTTGTACCCTGCTGAGGTAGCCTTTTGGCACCATCCCATAAAAATAAACGTAACACTATAGATCAATGGTCATAATGAGTTTAGGTTAGCAATAACAAGGTTAGGTATAGAAGGCACAGCAATTTGATACAATAATGGTTTTAGGTCCACTTATTTAGCCTACCATACAAAAGTGACCAGGACAGTCATAAAGATATCAACATTGAAAATTTGGGCCAGATGTAATAAGTTCATGACACAGCCTTCCTTCCTCAACAAACAGTCTGCAAACTGCAAAGAAATTTCTAAGTTTATAGTAAAATTGTATATCCCAGTAATTCTGTAAATATTATGAGCCCTTAACATGGGCTTAACAGTTTAAGAAAGCCTGTATCATGTCTCCCATCTCTGAACCATGTAGTTTGTGCCATCTTGTTTGAAGCCAACCTGCTGGTAGAAGGGGAGTTTCTGGTCGCTGCACTCCAACGAGATCTTGTAACAACCAAGATGTTTACTCAGCATTATCAACACCACTGTCAGGCTGGAACAAAACACAGATAAAAGGTTTTATTGAAAATCTGTTGGAGAACTCTGTGCTCCAATTGAAAAATGGGTTTTAGGTACAGATTAATGGCACAATGATTAACGTTACACTCAGATATTTCTAAAAGGATACATTTTATTGCCCCAATGTTGAAGCAGATAATCTTGGGGTAAGTTGCCTCAGTCACTTAGAAAGTGATGACAAAACTTACATCTTCCCCAGCTGTTTTCCTCTGTATGTATCATTCACCACAACATCTTCTACTCTGGCTCTCTGGAACACAGAAATATTGGAGGGAATAAGCCAGCATTCTGTTTTGGATAATAGTAGTATAAGTATAAAAATGTATAAAAAAACTACTCAACTAATACCATCAATACCTGTCTTTACTTGCAACTGGCTAAAGGCAACCAGGACCTTGCACAAATGTTGTGCAAATAATGATTTAATGCACTCTTATGTATCCAAGAACTTTTGCAGCAACTACTGGCCAACTTCCAGTCTGTGAATACAACACTATGTGCCTGTACTTTTGTCCTTGGCAGAAGGTATGTTGAGGTCAAGGGTTTTCAATGGTGATTCTTCTGCTGGAGGGCTGGAGAGATTGGGGGATATTCCCTCAGGTCAGAATATCCATCCAACATTCCACTAATGGCAAACAGAAATGATCCAATCAGCCCCCAACATGTCTGCTAGAGGAATAATTAGGATTTGCTGCAATTCTGTTCCTTTGGCTTGTAGCCAAACTTACCATTCCACAGCTGTGGATGAACTTTTGTTCAATGACCAGTGTCGCTGCACCGATGACTTCCCTCTTGTTCAAGTCTTCAATCACACAAACATAGTAACTCTTGTCATCCTTCATGGCATTAAATCTTGCTGACAAAAAAAAAAGAAAGAATGGATTGAAAATATTAGGCATTGTACCCTTGTGACTATATCTTGATGCATTGTAAAAGGTCAACAACCTTTCCTCATTGGCAACCAAAATGAAAATATAACGACTGATACAGAAAATTGTAGTGTTCCTCACCCATGAACTGTTCCCTGGTGACAGTCCCTACTTTTGTCAGTTGTGCCAGGACTCCTAAGAATCCTGTGGGCGATCAAAGCAAACAATTAGTAACTTATGAAACATTATGTATGCCAGATGGGCTAGTGACCCTGAAGTACAGTGTAGTCAGCAGCATTACCGGTAATGATATTCAAGAAGTTTGTTTTGGCACAAGCTTCCAACCTTTTATCTTGATAAACAGAACAAATGCATTACTTTTACTTGAGTGTTTAGTTTGCATGTGTGTGTTCTGACAGAAAGATTTCTTGCTTACATTCTAATTGTTATCTTTCAGTTTTTAAAGTGTTGACTTTGGACATGGATGGGTTTGGGCCTCAATTTGTTTATTAACTAGTTATGGTGGCTAGAGGTAAATTTTGACAATCTACTCCATAAAATGTCTGTCAATAAAAAAGTGCAGGTGACTGACAAAAGAGTACTATGACTGATCGATGACGTTACTTGCCTTTGTCATAGTCTGTTGCACACAGTGGCCTAACTTTGAGTCCATGCCCCGGGGTGTGGGGGGAGACCCCTGGGCGGAAGGATGACTTCCAGCTGCTGTAGTCCAGGTCAGCCAGGATGGAGGGGTCAAACAAGAAGTTGTAGTCCATGTTACCCTGTAGGAAACATGGGGTCATTAAAATTTATATAGTTATACATGTACAGCAGTATATTTCTACTCAGTATTTTTTCACATCCTAACAAAAATCAAAGCTGATAGTGCTTTTGCAATGAATGTCGATAGATCATTTTTTTCAAGCATAATGTGTATTACATTATCTGTTTGCAGGGAAATTTGCGACAAAATGTTGAGTATAGCCTATAGGGACTTTGCCCAAAAGTTAACCTTAAACGAGAGCCATGTTTGAAGTAAATCTGATAAAACATTCCTCCTGTCTAACTTGTTTTTACCTCTCAATGTAAAGGTTGCACCAGGGCTGACTGGACAAATACACTGGAGAGCTATTGATTAACAGGGTCACCCGGAGGTTAACATGCCACAAATACTAGGACAGTGCCAGGGAGAAAAAAAGTTGCTCTACCAGTTCCTGTCTGTTACATGATCTTTTAAAGAAGAGACTAAAGAGGTGCCAGGCATAATGCTAGTATTCTTATGAAAAAAATTTTTCACAAACCACATCGGTATTGCATAACCCTAAAATTTCCAAAGATGTTTTCTTCTTCAATACCAGTTTGAAAAGTATGATTCTTAACCCGGTGATCTTGTAAATTGCAATTGTAATGTAGTCTAAGTAAACACAAGTAAAATATTTTCATGATCTTGACAGAGTCTCACAGTCTTCACACACCCAACACACACCCTCCAATACAATGCTTCTGATTGGCTACATGGAGAGGTGTGACAAAACAACTACCAATGGTGTACAGTCACGTCAGACATTACAGATTCATGAATTGCAGTAGCTCTGCTGCCATGTCTACAATTACTGTGCATCTGTTGAGTCTGCAAACGATTAAGTAGTAGACATAACTACAGAATCCTGAATGTCTTACATTTGTGTACTTTCTATACTTCAATGATAACTCTATATTTACGTTGTCTTCAATAGAAGTTCTTTTGTCCACAACATACTGTGTACTTGTTGAAGTCTCAAATTATTCCTCAATAATCAAGTCAAGATTACTGAGGAATATGATGGCAAATATCAACAAAAATTCGAATGATAACAATTTCATAAAAGACTGTTAAAATGTTATAAAAATCAAATTGATGCCAACAAAATTTATATACTTGATTGTAGTAATAATCCTCCGAGCAACGACGTCAAAGATATGACATACATGTACATGTATAATTTTTAGCTGTAGCGACTCTTCAGTCAAGCGTATTTTGTTGATAGTCTTATATACTGTAGCCTTCTATACCAAGGCTCGGCGTATTTTTGTTATGGCTGTATGACATCCCTACAGTAACTGCAAGGTACATCCTCCTGATCCCCTACACTGCTCCACTGAATGTACAAGTCAAGACTTAAAATAAAATGCTCACTTACCATGACGAGGTGCTAAACTGTCCCTCTGCTTTTTGCCTGTGACAGTGCCGGCCGGACAGTGCCTAGTAACTCAACCACTACTTAGTAAGTAAGTTATTATCAACCTTGGTTGTTGTTACAGCACTACTCTACTCTGGTCTGCTGTCTGAGAACGAACGTAGGCGATCGCAGCAAGAACAACTGAAAGTAGTACACACTTCCTCCTAAACAACTTCTTGTTCTCACCGGTAAATTATGCTACGCGTAACGGGACTCCACTTGTCCAATGACGTCCGGCTCACGTCAGTTGTCAACAGTTTCCCTGGCGAATGGACGTAAGCAGGACATCCGGTCCGCAGCGGGGCAGGTAAAACGTCACAGGTGTTCTCTGTCTGGCGGGGCGTAAACCAGCGACGTGGCAGCGATAGAGCAAGACCACACAGCCAATCGATCAGTATTAAGACAGGAGACGGAATCAACAGTTCGAAAATGACCCGTTAACGTCACAAAACTGAATCAAGGACACCGATACAACCATACAAGACAGGTTTAAATCTGGTAACGTCACCAGCTATCTACGCCCGCCTCCAAGATCCTACAACCTTTGCCCCCTTCCCACAAGTTAAACTTTACCATCCCAAGGCCAATACACAAAGCCCCGATGCGTAGCTAGCCGGTGACTAACCAGTACAGCTTGAATGATCGATCACCTGAGAAAGAACAACTTCCGGGTTCACGCCCCACAGCTGCTTGATCACGTGATAAGTAATGGCTTTGGAATGTACCATTATAGACCAGGGACTGTATGAAAAAGATAACATTATGGCAATCAGATACAAATATGTTACATAGCAATCATGATAGCTTCAAGCACAAAAATCTGTTGTAATTTCTTTTTATGTATTTATTAATCATTATTGGCTTAATGAGGCAATTGATTTTAATAAGAGTAAATAATTTATTTTTTTAACACCGCTAAAGGTACATAGACTCGTCTAAGATGGCTGACAACATGTGGAGCTCCGAGGTGAATAATTTTGGTTCGGGCTGAGTTGAAAACAACCTACAAACTATGATGTTTACCGTTTACCAGTATGATGTCATTTGATACCATAAGAGCAGGGCATGCACACAATTCTCTAGGGCGGACAGCATGCAGTTTTGAACCTCTGACTCTGAAAGGATGTAAAGAGTGAAGCGCTCCGAGATGTCAAAGGCCCACATGGTTCTGCGGACAGGCATCCTTTACAATGCCCCATGGTGTGGGGGCGGGGCCCAGCGATTAAGCTTCTGCAGAACTTTAAGACTTTGGGTTCAGAACAACCTGTGAGCTTTCACAGCTTCTTAAGAATCCCTAAAGCCAAAGAGACGAGATGTTTACAGTGCAGCTTCCCGGTAACTCTCACTTGTCCTAGGCCATTCAATTTTAACAGACTTTCCTTTTCATCTACAAATTTTACAAATCAGCACTTCAGATGTCTCAACAGGAGGCTCTCCCCAGGTGCCAGATTAAAAGCTATATACGGTGCTTGTTGTTTTGTCCCTCGATGTGAGTGGTACAGTTCTAAGGGACCACGAGCCAAGATAAAAGATGATGAAGGATTGGCGGAGGAAGGGCAAGAGGAGGTCACTGAGAGGTCACAAGGCCAAGATCATGATGGTGCCAAGGGCGACAAGGCTGCTGGAGGCGTGGCAGAGTTGGTAAGGAAGATGAATTTTCTTAATTGATCGAAAAATCTACCTCTGAATACTGTGTATAGGAATAGTGTAATGCTCTGGTATGTTTCAACAAAGTGATTCTCCCCTCTCACTGCCCATGTCTCTTTCCAGCATGAGAACATCTTCACAGTGCCAAACCTGTTATGTGGGGTGCGCATCGGTCTCACACCTGTCATCAGTTACCTGGTCATCAACAGTAACTTCACCTGGGCCATGGCACTGTTCGGACTTGCAGGAATCACAGACCTGGTGAGATCTGGAACAATTATGCTACTAACTTATGATGTAACTTAAATTTATAGCAGGGAAGACACATTTTGAAGTGATGCAGACAGATCATGTACTTATTGTGCCTATTTTATCCCCAGTTTGATGGGTACATTGCCCGTAACTTCAAGAACCAGAGTTCAGCATTTGGCAGTTACATCGATCCCCTTGCAGACAAGTTCCTGGTCAGTGTGGTGTTCCTGAGCCTGACATATGTGGGACTGATACCTGGTGAGTTCACACAGGACAGTTCCCTATGCAAATAGTTTGTTTAATACATGTACTACACTAAGGCCACACCGATTTAATTTTATGGATGACATCCTCTGAAGACCCCCAAACTAGTGCGCGCGGGCGAATAAAAAAAAAATTCCGGCCATTTGCGGCAATTCTTAGCAACGTATACAACAAGCCGGCACATGCTGGCTTTTTTGCGAAATTTATGAATCGGTACTCTCCGTATGTACTGAGTTCTTGAGTCGTGAAGCTTCGAACTTGATAGCCTGGGTGCCCGACTCCGTATTGTCACTAACTACCATGGACTACCCAAGCCTAGAGCCAGGCCAGAGCCTCGGTGGCCGTGTATTTTTTTTTTTTTTGAGGGCGACAAGCGGATGTCATCCATAAAATTAAGTCAGTGTGGCCTAATAGACAAACAAAACATGGAATGTACAATGTATACTATTTGTTTCAAAGCACTATCACTAGTATCAGTCTTTAATTTTTGTTTGTTTTTTGTTTAATTTTTGACATTCTTAAATCTGAATGGTATAACATGCTTTGCTTGTCTAACATAACTGATACAGAACTCCAAAGTGCCCTTCATCTCTTGTATCTACTCACAAGTACATACTTTACTTCTTTGGTTTTATGTCTACAGATTGTTGAAGATGTCACTTGTGTTGTCCTTATTTCTTGCAGTTCCACTGACGTTGCTGATCATCGCCCGTGACGTTCTCCTGATACTGGCTGGGTTCTATGTCAGATACCAGACACTGCCACCTCCTGTAAGCTGGTATTTGTTGATGCCCTTAATTGTTACAAATTGGTGCACTTGTCTAGCATAATTTTTGTATGTATATACCACAACATTGCAACAAGTTTTCTATTATTGGGAGTTGATTAACCCAATAACCCTTGTATTGATGGTCCCTTTACTAATGTGTTGGTTTGTAGAAAAATGCTAAAGTAGAGAAGAAGAGATCTCTTTGTGACATAATGTACAAAACGAATCTTGTTTCTTGTGTTGCCAGGTAACTTTTTCCCGTTACTTTGACGCCACCCATGCCACGGCCCAGCTGAAGCCAACCTTCATCAGTAAAGTCAACACAGCAGTACAGCTGGCATGGTGACTTTCTCCCTGGCTGCTCCAGTACTGGGATACGTGGAACACCCCCTGCTGCAGGCTCTATGGTTAGAACTCTCCCAACATCTTTGTTTTGGATTACATTGAGTTTTATTTCCATACAGTGTTGTGACTAAATGTGTCTTCAAGTCCTGCCAGTTGAGAATGGGTGACAAACCTGCCAGACTATCCTGTCTAACTTACATATCTGTCTAACTTACATACTGGCTGTAGCAGTACTGTGACAAGTACATGTAATACTGTGTACCATCTCTTCCTGCTTGAATCATTACAGCAAGAGTTGTATACTATACAATCTTGCTGTAATGATTCAAGCAGGAAGAGATTGTACACAGTATACAGTATATATGTGTTTGTTCTTGTTTTCTATGTTTCTGCAGGTACTTGACAGCAGGAACCACCATCATGTCAGGTCTGAGCTACTTAGTGTACAAGGACACATTCAAGGTCATCAGGAGGATGCACAGGAAGTGATTTTGGGACTGTTGAAATTTTTGAGATATTTTGAGATATATTCGGAAAATTTGAGATATTTAAGATTTTTACTTGTCCTATCAAGGAGATATAATGTCCTTGTCCTAAGATATGAGCTTATTCTGGCTTCTGTGTTGTTAGATTACAGGGCATACTGTAGATGCAGGTGTAGATGGGATACACAGTCTATCACAGTAGTCTTACTGCAACTGCAAGTGCAAAGTACATTTGGTTGAACTGGCATAAATGGAGAGTGTCTGTTTAAGTACAGATGCCCTTATAGTACATTTAGTTAATTACAGATGTTTGTATGAAGCAACCATTTTCTCCAGAACACTGTGAAGTACTTTTACATTAGAATTGCAAAACAAGGAGTTTTGGATACGGCATCATACAGGCATGTAATCATAGTAGCTGACAAGCTTAAGGGCAATTGTGGTGCCCCATAGTTATTAGTTGATACATGTATTTCAATTTTTAGAATTGAAAAGTTGTTGTTGTTAGTTTACTATTTCAACAAAGCAAGCTTTTGTTGACCTTAACCTTTATAAAAGTGCAAATCTACTTCACTGCTTTGTAGCAGGATAGCATTACTGCCTGGGAAACATACATATTTACAATTTATTATACCGGTATTGTAATTTAAGTCAACTGTCGATGTCATCATGTATGGCAAGGTAGCCAAATATGGAACTCATGGCTGCCTGGCTCTGAAATGTGTTATTATCAACATTGAGACGTCATTTGCTCACCTCAGTGCCAAGGTGAATAAAGATTGAATCATGAACATGCAAGCTTTCCACAAGGGGCAATAAACAGATAACATCAGTACAAAGCATGGCCAACAGATCTTTCCTTGTTTGAAATTTTGTAAATCTAGAAACTTCTGTCTGATTCTGCTCTGTACAAGTAAAACTTCTCATCATTAGAACAACATCCAATTGCAAGTATTTGCATTAGGCTGACAGTGTCACTGGGGTACTGTGTGTGCATGCGTGTCTGTGCGTACCCGTGCCTGCATGTGCTTGTGCATGTAACTGCACAATGTTGAAATCAAACTTTAACTACTCTGCCAAAATTGAAACTGGTCCATGAACTGAAGCAACAAGGTTTTTTTTTTAATTCAACCATCTTTAGATACAATCATGGGGCAGTACACAGTTGAAAATAATAGTGGGCAAAATTACAAGTCAGCATCTAACCTCAAGGTACAAAGTTTCACCAACTTTCTCTGTCCAGAATTATATGTATTGTTTAAAAACTTCAAAAACACTATTCAAATTCAATCTTATATTACATTTCAAAAACTGACTTCCAAACTATGTAAAGCCACGCTTCCATGTGTACCTTGAGTGAGAAAATAGACTTTTAGTTGAGGCCTATACACTTTGCTCTTTTGGTGAGGCAAGAGGACAAATGCAAGTCATACCATGTCAGACATCATGTTGTGTCAAACCAATAATGTTTAAGGGGTACATAACAAAATCTCATTATTAAAGAAGGAGTTACACTTCTATGTGTACTCCTGGTTCTGCATATACAAATGCAGACTTATTTATCTTTCATCTTTCCTGTAATGATTCATGAAACACAGTGTACATTATACAGGTATACCAACAACCTTTCTGGGTTCATGGCTTGACATATTGGTCCACGCAGGGTGCAATTTGTTATGGTTGAAGCATATTTTCTTTGGAGCATTATATTTACAGGCAACACATTGAGAACCATTTGACACATATTACAATTACACAACACAAAATGTAGTTATTAGGTACCAGTGTGATAATATAAAATTTGCTATACAATGTGTTACATATCATTCTGCAATTGTTTACTGACACCTCTATCAAGATAACACAATTATTACTGATAACAAAATCAAAAATAGGTATAAAGCAATCTTGTGCAGAAGTCTGCCTGTGCAAAGTTTGCTGGCTATCATTGATCATTGCTTGAAAATACTGGGGAATAAACTTACATAAAGTAAGATGATCCAAAGACAATCAATTAACATACCCCCGGTATGACCTGTTACAGCTATTTGCATGAAAATCTGTTATATCATGCTGAAGCCAGCTACATGTGTAACAATTGACATATTTTAAGAAATTAGGAAAAAAAGTCAACTCTGTTTCATGCTACTTTTTCACATTCTTCAGTTCTGTGATTTACTTCCAAAAGTTTTGGGTACTAAGGCAATAGATTATGAACAGTTCTGATGTTTGCAATGTAATGACTGTATCCAATAACTAATGACTAGCTAATTATCTGTTGTGGGATAGTCAACATTCCAAAAACTGTTTTCCACATTTTCCCAATTAATAGTATTTTCAATACTAGTATTGCATCCCTGATTTTATAACCCAAAACTCTGCTACTCATAGATTGTAATTTATTACTTTCTTTGCAAAAATAGCTTTAATGTACACATCACTAAAATCAAGTCTTTCGCCACAGCTCCTCAGCATTTACACGGAGCACTTCAACATAAAGATTACAGATGTAGAATATATTTGGGTTGATTCTTCCTTTTATTCCTTTTGGGACATTATCCTGCACTGCTATTTTCTTTTAAATTTTTGGATAAACACTGGAAGCCAGTTTATCTTACATTTAAACTCTACCTCTACTCAAATCTTAATTCATGAGTAGATAGACGGTCCTCTGCCAAGTATGAAATATTGTAGATTTTGAACAGGGTGAGATCATGTAAATCCAAATAGCAAAATCCAGGTTCCATGTTTTCAAACAACAGTCCTCAAAATGTAAAAGACATAATTGTCTTGAACATTCTCTCCATCAATCCATATCTATCAACATTGTATGTACAATTAATTCAGCCAGTAGGAGGTAAGACATTTCTAGTCATTAGATGCCTTTGGTTAGTATGACTGTATTTGGCCACATCAAATTTGCACTTGGGCTAAAAAAACAAGCTTATCAGCAGTTTACAGTTCTCTGTGGTCTATTTCCATTCTGACACTCCGATCCACTTCCACAATAACTCAACTGAAAATATGCATTAAGCTTTTATCAAGGTGGTTCGTGGACCATTTCCTTTATCATTTATATAGTATAATAATACCAATATATTACTTAGTGCATAAAGAGGTGTATCATTCTTGGTTTAGGCTACTTGTGGCCACAAAGTTGCATTAGGCTTGTAATCATGATTACACTTTTGCCCAAGATCTGTACCTCCATCACTATCACAGAGAAACTGAAATATTACTAATCAACATTGCTAACTTCATATAAAGAGTGACATTACCAAGACTTTACAATTACTATCAAACACTTTATATTGTAGCCCGTGGTAACAGGAATTAAATACATTTACAGGAATACTACCACAATTTTGTTTCAAAGTATTCCTGATGAAAAACTTTCAATACTATCTAAAAACTAACAATACTGAAGCTGCCTCCATGATAAAAGGAGACAATTTCATGCCTTGCTGTAACACTGATTATTATGGGATTGGGATGTTCAAAGTGGCTTAAACTCGTTTCGATTGTGTCATGGCCTATTTAAAAAAATTGTCATAGGTTTGAATAGACATTTCTTGTAATAACCAAAGGAATTTTATGATTTCAACAATGTGTACCACAGTGACATACCATGGCTATCACAAATGTAATGAATTCTACACAAGCTAAAATGTAAGTTATATATCAGGTAAAGAGTTCACACTGTTCACAGTCATAGGAAGGAAAAGCCCACCCTTTAAATTGTCATTAAATGTGTAGACAGTTTAAAAGATTAGACCCTGTAACACCTGTAATGTTGTTTTAAGTTGTGTTTGCCCAGTTGGTGTGTCAGTAATGTAGTCCACAACTGTTCGGATGGCTTGGTCCAATCAGGCGGAGATGATCAGTCATGTGACTTCACAGACCCCGCGACTCTTTCGCCTCATACATAAACTTGACTCCCTGGAGAGAAAGTGTTATATCAACAAAAACAACTTCAGGTACACAACCTTCAGGTATCTAGACCATAACCTGTCAATAGAACTCATGCTAAAGACATTGATTCAGAAGTCTAAAAGTGACCAGGTTACTGTCATGTGGGATATTCTAAACGCTGGCTCTTTTACAAAGGAAAAAGAATAAAATATTTTTATATAACGTTTTAAACTACATTGTACATCATAGATATTGATCAGTCTCTTCCTACACACCTTTTGCACGGCTCCCACGAAGGCCAGAGACTGTCTGCGGTTGTCAGTAGTGGCTGAGATGATGAGCTGGAGATGTCGGATCTCTCCACTCTCACGTTCCTTGTGCTTGATCGACAGGCCATTGGCCACAATGTTCCCTATAAAGAACATCATCAACTTTACCTGACTTCATCATCCAAGAAATTAACAGGATCAATATACCATTCAAACTGTGCAACAGTTTATTTAGTAAGCTAGGAGTAAGAGTACATCAAAATCACATAGTTCAGAAGAAATCATCCATGGTCCAAGTGAAGCAGCTTCCTCAGCACCTGAAGGGGTGAACTCCCTGACAAACATCACAAATCTAAGTTTTTGAATCAATATCATAAAGGTATGCTGGGAGTAGCCCCTCTAGCCACCTGTACACTCTACCAGTAAACAAACTCTTCACATTTAGCCACTTTCACAGATGCGACATGTTCCAACACATAACAACCTCAACAGGGCATTTCATCAGTCTGTTCATCTCAGTACTCAATGCAAAACTCACAGTTGTGCTTATACACATGGAGCAACAAGAGTGTACTATGGTTGGTTAGAGGACCAGTTCACACAACAAAATACAAGACTAATATAATGAGTACAAACACTGACATGATACACACATGCACATGATGTACACTATTGACAGTCTGGCCTTGGCACTATCTTGAAACTGAAGAGAACTACAGGCATATAATAGCTCTGACAGAAGGACATAGTTTGTTTCCACTCTGTAAAATGCATGATTAAAGGACCAGAAGTTCTGGTCATCTTGATCTGATTTGATTTGACTGTCATCAAAAGATGAGAATTCTCTAAAATGTGTCACAACAAGACATTCCAAAGGCAAAAACCATCAGGAAACATATACATCCTTTATTTAGATACTGCAAACTACCATGTGCTGCCCTTAACATGGATATAAGCAGCCAACTATACTCAAAACAAAAGCTCACAGCCTGGTCACATGCACACTACGTAACACATATGCCTGACACATATGCCTGTGAGTTGCCAGTTGTGTACCTTCCGTTGGACTCAGGTTGTCAGGTGAGCTTATTACTGGAAATGGAGCAATGGGGGAACACGGGGAGCTCAATGGGGAGCTCGGACCTGGAACAACACTGCAATTAGCAAGGACACTACACATGTACTCTAGAGTACCAGTATGGAGACATGTTGGTACATAGGTTTGCAATGTAGCAGGTCTAATAAAACTGGGTATCACAATTTTTAAAATTACAAAAAATTAAGCAAAAAATAGGAAACAAGACCTTTTAAGAGTTTGGATGTGGAAGAAAACAAAACAGTAGGAAGAAAATCTTCATAATCTCTGGACAGCCTAAGCCAAGGCACAGATCATACTGCAATACAGATTTCTGAAATGTTCACATGCATCTGCAACTCTAACAGACTGAACAAACATGGCAATGAAAACAATGATGGAATACAAGAATGTACAAACAGAGAAGCAAAATTTTAACAAAGAATACATAAAAAATATGTTTCTGCAGATACCTGGGGAAATCAAAATCAAACTTTAACTTCATACACAATACATGGTTAAAGCTCTAACTGAAAGTCAAAGTAAGACAAGAGGAGTTAAGACTGCAACTAAGAAAGCTGGGGAAGAAGCATGTCAGCAACAAAAGATATGAGAGTGAATCCAGCTGCTACAATCTCATGCACAAAACTAGGGAATATGAAAAAAAAGACATGGTACATGTAAACTACCTGTAAGAAACTAAGTATACATTTTCATTTCATTTTTAGGACTATGAAGGCCATGGCTAGCCATTAACATGCATCAATTTTCACATAATCATGCTTCTCCTGTTTCCACATCTACATTGATTAGGCAACCGAATGATACAGAGTAAATACCCACTTTGTAATACAATTACAACATTAATTGCTACCAATAGTAATCATAGTATTAAGTACTCTAAAGTACACTAATTAAGTAGACTACTGGTATGCCATAGCAAAGACAAACACATTTATTTTTTAAATGAGGCAGCAAAGCAGCAAGTACATGTACAACACTTATTGTTTGCATTTCATTGGGGTGTTTTTATACTTTGCTAAAAAGACTTAATGAATATTCAGTCTCATCAATATCATTACATGGGACACATTCACCTTAATGATCTGTAATCTGATTAGAGTAAAATCCTGATTATGTTAATATTGGGCTCATTAGGTTCTTTTCTTTTCAACAGTCCCACGAGGGACTAATTAATCAGACTTCTACATACATTTTGATGATGAGTATCATCTCGAGAACTAGACATGCTAACTGTGCTACATAAACATCCTACATCCCTTTACAGTACCTTGTGAGTCCTCCCCAGCAGTCAGGATCTGGATAGCCACCACTTGTTCCAACTCTACTGGGGAGTGTTTAGCATGGCCAGCATTCTCAAACAACAGGAATCTGAAAATATGCTGATGTTGTTATATAGCATCTTGCACAATGAAAAAAAGACAATTCCAGTAGTCCTAAGCATTTTCAAGATGCTTATCGTCCCAAATACAAGGACAATGGTACAATATAGTTTTTCCTCTGCAAACAGTGGCAAACACTAAATGTTTCTTTAATTTTCCTGTACCTGTGATCTGCAGACAGTTTACAAAGGCACGGCTCCGATAGGTTCTCCATGTCATCTGGGCAGGACAGCTGGAAGGCTGCACCTGTCAATACAGAAAAACTAGCTAGGGTTTTGCATTGCCTTATGAAAGAGTACATACATAAAATAGGTACAAATGTATTTGAATTATTCTGAAATGAAATCTGATTCTCAGATGGATTACAGAGCAAAATATCAACATACAAGATTACAGAAACAGCACCCCATGCCAGAAACAGCATACCATGTAGCAGCACCTTCAGCTGCTTGTCATAGAACTCGTTCTCCTTCTGTGTGATTACAGCGCAGTCATAGCAGAGCCGCACGGGGTCCAGAAAACACAGCCGAGGCAGCGCAACCTTGTGCTGACAACACTTGTCACAGTAACACTTTCCACAGCGCCTGCAATGGTGCTGCAAAGAAATACACACAACCAACTGAATCATAAATGTAAGGTACATGTACCATGTTTACTTCATTAATAACATAATAACACAAGCACATATTAATTATAGTTGAATATGTAAGACCACTGATGAAATTATCGTTAACTTTACCTGATGAAATTATCGTTAACTTTACCAAAAACAGTTTCTTCAGTTATTGCACAAGTGTGGTAGTTGGATTACAGCCAATGGCTTCTAACAGTTACTAGCAACAGAAATACTTCACATAGCAGAGAACTGACATGTATATACAGTCCATACCTTTCTCTTGACAAAATCAAACTTGGCCTTGCAGCTCATACACTGGGAGCACTGCATAACAGGAAGAGTACTTTAATCAGCTAATGCATGTAAACCATATGACTCTATGAGCATAGAAAAATTGAGACATACAAATGTACATTATTGTAATAACACATTAAACTTTTGAGCTGTGATACCAATTGAAAAATGTCATGCCATTTGTCAGGTTATGATTTTTCTTTTTTTAACATCATTGTTCAGGTTAAACTGTAATTTCCAACTGAATTAGATTGTTGTGCATCATATATTTGAAATGTTGTGGGATCAAACCTGATTTTAAGTTTACAATCTAAATATAACAGGTTGGATAAAGTACACATAGTCCCTATTCAATCTACAGTCTAACTTAATGAAATTCTGCCTAGGTCAAAATACATGTAGATTAGTCTGCTTCATCAAATGTGACACTGTGCACTGCAGGACATGAAGCCCCTCCGTCATGTCAGAGTCCAACTGTTTACCCTTATTGATTTTGATGGCGGTGTGGACCGATAAATAATCAAACTGAACTTTGACACGAATGATCTTACATATAAGCTGTATTAGTATTTTTTAAGGTCAGTAAGGTGTTCTCATTCTGTTAATCAAATTTACAATGATTTGGAGATGAAGGATGAAGATTTATAAATTCCCTTAACCTTTCTAAGCCTGCTTCTAAAATACTAGTAGTCTCCATAGAATGAGTCCCCAGATACCCAGGCTAGAGCTTACAGCTGTTGGCTGCTGTCTTTTTATGGACACAACCTTCCTGTGAGTCTGCTCCACCCATATATTGATAAACATTATAGTGACACTGCCAGGGTAAAATGATGCTACACAGTTGTCATCTTGTGCAATGTTATAAATATTATGAAATATTAATTTTCATACCTAATACTAGTAGGAAGTTTAAAGTCTACATCTTCAAGCATTGTTTTGATAAAGTTACCCGATGCAGAGGACCATCCTACTGTCAGCTGTTCTGACAATTTGAAAATACTAATAGCTCTAGAAATGACATCTTGCTTTCGGGGTTAACAGTTATGAATCTTGTAATCTCGGCTGTTTGTTTGGTGACTCCTGGTATCTTGTATTAAAGCTGTCTTTCTGTTGTACCAACAAAAGCTGGCTAATTGTTACTACTGACAATCTGTTGTATGACCCGGAATGTTTCCAAATTGTTCAATTTCGGGTTTTAAATCACTTGCCATATCTAATTTACACAAGTCACAACAGGGAAACTATTTTCTTAGCAGAGCCAGTTGAGCTGTCGTCATATATTTTTTAAAAATATAGAGAGGATGCAGCAGTATATTTCCGTTTGTGTCGAGGGTGTGTATCAAGCTTCTTGCGCAATGTAGGCTAAGGTGGTTGAAATCATCCTTGTTTAGATAGAAGCAGAGACCGAACCTGCCAGACAGACAGATCTTGACCCGTCGGGAGTTCAGTGGCGTCTCGGCCCCACCTCCAGATCTCTGCTCACACATGCGCGCCCCGGAGCCCTGCCTTTTACCTGACTATGCAACGACAAACCCCGACTCACCTCACTATCCGGGACCCACGGCGGTTCCTCCAGCTCGAAAGGCGAGCGGAAAGCGCTGTTAGCCGCCACCATCCGCAGCCCTGACTTCGAACGCACCAGCTTCTTTCCTCCTTGGTTTGGGTTTGTCGCCATCTTGTTATCATCAACCCCCTTCCGTGGGTCAAGGGTCACAGGGGGCGGGAACTTTTAATCTGTGGGCAGGGCTGTTGCATTTAGCCAAGGAGGTGAATGGCTCATTAAATACTAATATCCTAGCAGATTAACATCTACAAAGGGTAAATGAACAAGAATATGCAGACTTTGTAACCAGAAAAATAACACTTTATTTTATGAACTGGTAAGCAACATTGACTACTGGTATGTGGTACCATGCATGCAGGTTTCCTACATCAGGAAATATAGCTCTGTAACATATTCAACCAGGACCTCAGCTCCAAACACTTGCTCTTCTAATCATTTCACATCACAGAGATGGAGCTAGCCTGGGTGCCATCCGATTTGTAACGGCTTTGTTACAAATCGGAGCCATCCGGCTAAGATGGAGCATGGAGCTGATACAATCCTCACACCTATCATAGAACATGCCCAACAGGGGCACTGCACTTTAATAACAACAAAGATTCTAACGTTATATTCCATTTGTCTACACCAATAAGCAAGAATAATACATATAAGATATTTTCATATGGAATGGTTATAACATAAACCAAAAAGCATCATAGGATCAAAGCAAAATCAAACATATCAATGTAATTTAGTACCAAGCAGGCCTCTGAAAGTACCAACATAATACAAAAGTAGAAAAAAAATCATCAAAGACAACATCCAGAGACTTAACTATGAATACAAAAGGAACTAATGGTAACACAAAATGTAGTTTTAGCATTTTCATGTCCAATGTGTCCCATCTATTCTGACATGCCAACTCATGACTCTCAAGTTATTCATTACTCGTTGCATTTGCATATAAAATGCTACAACAGGTAAGGTTGATAGCAGTTTATTACTATAATTAATGTTGCAAAACTTGTGACAACATACAATAGCATATTGACAGAAACATGTGAACAGTGAAAATGCATGTAGTTACATTTATTGTGGTGCATGATATAAGTGACAGTGAATAATGTGAACTTTTCTTCAACTATGAACCAAGATATATGATTGTGTAACTCTGTCTACTGTGTTACACATTTACTAGTAATTTTTCCTATTATCTCTGTCACTGCCACTTCAGTACCTGCTTCAGTAAGGTCAAGTTTTTTCGTTGTTCCAACCAGCTCTCAACACAGATGCCAGGGCTGTTCCAGACTACATGTCTGATGTCATGTGCAAAAATCTTAGTGCTGGTATTGGCGTCTAATGCAAACTGCTTTCCCTCTTTGACATTTCCAGCACAGTACATGGAAGGCTCTCCGGGACATTCCTGTGACCCCAATGAATGTTACTCATTTCGAGTGTCAAAAACAGCCATGGAGGCAGCTGACACATGGCTCGTGTCATTTGATCTTTTCTTCCAAGTTTGAATTCTTCATGGATATTCCAACCCATGAAAAAGTCTGTGGAACTGTTTGAAGTGTCAATAATGCATACATCACTAGTGACCATATGACTATGCATCAGCATCATTATTGCCATTAGAGTCTGTGATGCTTTTATCTTCCTCTGCCTTTCTTCCCTTCCCATCTGCATTTGTCAGGACAACATCTTCCTCTTGCCTGTCCCCAGCTGAAGCACCTGTGCCCACCTGGGCATCCCCTGAGGCAGGTGTGCTGCTGTCAAACATCCCTTTGTACATGGCCCTCTGTCTCTGCACTTGTCTGGCTAGCCCCTCTTGTGTCAGCTTGATGTAGCGCTTAACATTGGCATCTGAAGAAGATCAGCACAAAGTACATGTACATGCAAAATGTTTGTTAAAAATAATAGCAAATGTGAAGAAAAGGAATGTGCCAAAATATACTGCTCCCCTCACCATTTGGTGACTGTTGCAGTGCTTGGTGCAGCTTGCTGAGTGCCCCATCATAGTCTTTGGAGTGGTACAGAGCCAGCCCATATCTGTACAGAGCCTTGGAATTACCCGGCTTCCTCTCCAGCACTTGGGCACAGTAACTGCTCACCTTGGCATACTTCACCTCAGGTTCCTGGAGTAGACATGCTAAAGGCCAACATTGGAAAAAGTAATATGGGTGTGGGATCAGGACTGAAAATACTATCTTAGTTATCTATCTTATCCAAAAGTCAACAGTACACATAAACATATTTAAAATGCACACATTGCTAAATTCAATGGTAATATTTTTTTCATTTAAAAGATAATTACCTGCCAAGTTGTTGTAACAGTTGGCTTCCAATTCTGCAATGGCTGCATCTTGTTCTGAGGTTGTGGAAGTATCTTCTGCACCTGACAAGGCTGCCACCTGCTGCATGGCCAGTGCAGCACTACCTGCAGCACCTGGGCCCCCACTCTGGTATGTAACAGAAACATGTGTTAAGCTTACTTCTCCATTCAAACTGGGTGGGAGGCATCAAAACCTTATTTTCCTTCTAGATATCATTTCAGCTTACCAATGTACAATTCATACTCATGTAAACATCTGCTGAATCCACTCCCTCCTTCCTTTCAAGTCAGCTGCATACTCAGTTCAGACAGCATGTTCAGACTACCCTCAATCAAAAGTGGAATGTATAGCACAAATAACATTGTCATTGTCAGTACTACAATTATTATGTAACTTTAAAGAAGTACCTTATGCAATGTTTTAAGGTACAGTAGTGCTCTGTGGTACTGTCCTATTGCCCCCTTGTATTTCTTCTGCTTGTACAGTTCATTCCCCTTCTCCTTGTGAGCTGCAGCCTTGCTGATCATTTCCTCAGGGTCAACAGCCTTCATCCTGCTGGCCGCAGCGCCGGGAGGTCCCAGCTCAGACAGACCGTTAGATGTCGCACCTTGGGGGTCTGATAGGTCACTTCCACCATCATCACTGGAGGCCATGGCTATTGATGCTAATAAGGATTAAGAGGCCAAGGCTATTGATGCTAATAAGGATTAAGAGGCCATGGCTATTGATGCTAATAAGGATTAAGAGCATTTTAAACTTTCTCCCTGCTACATAACCTTACATCCAATACGAATTTGGTGCCAATAGGTTACCTTTAAATAGGAATACACTCAAAGTCATCCACAACATGCCATCCATTTGCGACGACATTTCTTATCACAATGTATATAGGATGGAGGCTCAACAGACTTACATTCCAGATATACTTTTCGATGTTTAACAACTTAGTACATTAGATTATGGTGCATTACTGTATTACCCCCCTACTCACATTTTCAAAACATTGTCACCTAGGTTGATGAACAATGTCTGCTGAGCAAATTATGACCAGGTGAATCTTGTACCAAAATCATTTCCTTCTTCTTTGTCACAGATTGTACTGAGCAAAATATAGAGGCCGATACAGTAAGTATGACAAGGATCGGACCATAAACACTCTGTTTGAAACCTAGCAGAGGTGAATCACAAACAACAAACACTTTCAAAGCCAACCTTGTAAACTGTTTCTGTGTCTTCCGCTCTCTTCGTCACCCACGTTGGACGCATCCACTATGACGCGGAATATTTTATGGCATCTCAGTTCATAACCTATTAGAAATCTGATTCAACATCATATTAGCCAGCCATATATTTTTATATGTAATTGCCTATTATGGTACTTTAACTTTTTAACTTAAAATTAAGATAGTTTTTTTCAAGTCTGAAAAAGATGAGTCCCCTTTGTTTATAATAGCTCGTTCCACCCTCAGGTCAAAGGTTGATTTAGAGGAGACTCCATGTTCGTGTGCGTGTGGGGTCTTGACTTAGTTTGTGAGCATTTGGACCCTTCCTTAGTGTCTATAAATCTACCCAGAGGCGTAGTGTTTTAACAAGGACATCTCTTCAAATTCAAGGTCCAAGATGATGACGATAAGGGCATTACGAAGCCCACAGTTGGCTCTAGGTGTGAGAGTCTGCGGCCGGTGCTGGAGGCATGATGGCCCGAGACACCAGCGGGCCGACCCGCTAGGCACGGACGGGGCACGCACGGAGGCGAAGCAAGAGGTGGACGGGGCAGAAACTGCCGCACGACCGAAGGGATTCAGGACAAAGGTCGTCGAGTTCTTTAGGCCTGCAGGTTAGAAACCAAGTGATGATAAGAATTTGTTTAATTCGGGGGGGGGGGGGGCGAAGGGTATTCGTTTCAACCCAAGACCTTGAACTTAAACGCGAAGCTACGACGTACGACAAAACGAATGTTTACTCCAAATTATGAAGTAGAAGAGACGGTGCATATAGAGTAGAGTAGAGTAGAGTTGATTCATGCCGGGTAGGAGTCCTGCTCCAATTTGGGCCGCTCTTCAGTTTACTGACATCTCTGGACGTAGTGGGTGGTCCAAAGCTCTATAATTGTAGACGACCGGGTGTGTTTCCATATACTCGTCAAACCTCTTCTTGAAACTGTTCACACTAGGCGCCATAACTACCTCCCCAGGAAGCTCATTCCACCAGCTTGCCGTTCTATTTGTAAAGAAGTGTAGGCGCATATTTGTTTTTGCCTGCGTCCTCTTTATTTTCA